AAGATCGATTGGAAAACGCGTTCTTGAATGAAAATCAAACGCAACCAATCTTAATTCATCACAAATCACATCTTGCAAAGTTGATAATAAGTCATTATCATCAAATAAACAATCATGCAAGTATGGCGGCTACATTGGCAGCAATTAGAAGCAAGTACTGGATCACGAAAGGTAGACAGGGCGTAAAAAACGTGACGGAAAAGTGTGTCATTTGCAAACGTTATACCGGAAGACCATACAAAACACCATTAATGGCAAAGTTACCAGAAATGAGGACAAAAAGAGCTATTCCCTTTGAAAATATTGGGATAGACTATTTTGGGCCATTTGAGGTCTGGGACAATTACGTAGACGGTGAAATGCAAGTTTGGGCAGTCATATTTACATGTACGACCACAAGATTGATTCATCTGGAACTGGTGGACAACTTGCAAACAAGTACTTTTATCAAGACGCTAAGAAAATTTTGCGCAAGACGTGGAAAGCCCAAGCTGATAATTTCGGATAACGCTAAAACGTTTGTAATGGCAAAAGACTATTTACGTAAAGATCAAGAACACAAGAAAAGGAAGTGTTTTGAAGAAACACTGGCGAATTACGGCATTAAATGGCAATTTACCACTCCTTTGTGTCCTTGGGAAGGGGGAATATACGAGAGATTAATTGGAGCGGTCAAGTTAGCTCTAAATAAAACAAAGGGCAATCGAAGTTTATCAAAAAGTGAATTTGAGCTCACGTTAATTGAAATTGAAGGGATAATCAATTCGAGACCCCTTACGTACACGTATTCTGAACCTGACGCTCAAGTGCTAAGACCTATAGACTTTTTGTGCCCAGGAAAAAGGCTAAATTTACAAATTGAAGTGGCAAATGAAGTGAACGTAAACTACGGAGAAAAAGTTTTAGCCACTCATACGCAAGTAAGAGAAGCAGTAAAGAGTGCAAACTATTACTTGGACATTGTTTGGAAAGCATACAATACCGAGTATTTAAATGCGCTACGTGAAAGGAAAACCATAAATAAGTTTGGTCAGTACTCAAAACAGGAAATTCAAGTGGGAGATTTGGTCTTTCTAATGAACGAAGGCACAAAAAGAGGAGAATACGCAAGAGCAAGGGTGATCGAACTAGTCAAAAGCGCTGATGGAAAATTACGTAGCGCCATAGTGCTAACGGCAAATAGAAAACACGTTGAAAGGCACATAAAATTCCTGATTCCAATGGAAATACGTGCAGACGAAAGTGAAAAGGTTGAAATCGAAAAGAAAGTACGCCTACGCAACTATCCAAGAAACGCGAAAAGAAAAGGCGTAAAATACAAAGATGATTCATCGTCTTCTGAATCCGAAAAGTGAGCAAGTTGCGCAATAAATTAAGCGCAAACTTTTATGTGTGTAATATTTAAAAGTTTAATTTGGCGCATAAATTACGTTTAATTGATTTTGATTATACATTACGTTTTATTAGCTCAAAAAGGCAATCTGTGAATAATAGTAACATGTTTTTTTTCTTTTTTCTTTTTCTTTTTGCTTTACGTTCTCAAGTGTTATTTGTCAGTACAACAATAACGTGCACATTACAGGTACGAATGACTGATGCTCCAGCAGCAAAAACACAAATCGGCGGAGATCAAACGAGTAACACGCAAGAAAGTCGTGAAGTGAGAGAAAAATCAACAGAAAGTATGGGCACTGAGACAAAAGCATTTGAGATGCAAGATATCTCCGAGGCTCTCAGCGATATTATTCCTAAAATTGGAATAGCCGTTGGGCGCGAATCACAAAACGTGGTGCAAAAGATGCACGAGATCATGAGAGCCGAGACGAGAGAAATATTAGCCACTCTCAAAACGTATATTGATTTACGCATTGAGGGAATAGAAAAGTTGGCGAAATCACAACATGAAGATGTGATACGTGAATTACGTAGAGAAGTAAATAAAAGGAAGCTGCAAGAAGACGTGGATGAAATGGAAGAAGATCCGGTAAAGCGGAAGATCTTAAAAGTTCATCCACAAACGTGTCCATTTTGCAATCACGATTGCAAAGACGTAATTAAGTGCGCGCTTAAGGTGCCGATCAATCAAAGACTCGAAATTGCCCGAGCGAAAAATATATGTCAAGATCTGATGTGCTACAAGAGCCACAAGGGACCGTGCAACAAGCGTAATATGACCATCTGCAGCCGCTGCCAAGGAAATCATCACATCGTCTTCTGCCGATTATAAAAGAATCAACATCGCCACAGCTTCGATCTACCGGATTACGTATTCATTTTCTTTTCAATCAATTAGTCAAGGATTTGATGAATTTTGATATCTTTACTTAAATTCTTTTGGATCACTCTAAAATGTACACTTAACCTTAGAAATCTCTTTCAGCCTTAGTGGGAAGTACGCTAGAAAAACTAGCGTATTACATTCTTTTTCATGGTGGGAGTGATCGAACTCTCGATCCTCACACACGTCAGTTAAAGGTTTTAAATTCTATAACGTGCCCTTGGGAACGTACGTAACCGTTGACTAAGTAACTTTTGCACAAGTAAAAGGCTATAAAAGGTTTCATATCTTATTCCGTGTGGTCTTTTTCTTTCATTTGAGTCTTCTCGATTCATTTTTGCTCTTGATCAAGTGATTTTTCTTTCGCATTCACTTTGCAAGTGATTCGTGTTCTCATTTATTAAGTGATTGTTTTCATTCATTTCTCAGTGAGTGTTTTATTTCTTGATTGTTGTACGTGGTGTTGTTAACGTGGAACGTAGTATTTTGCGTGGTGATTCAGGTGTTAAATAAAGTCTTGTTTCTTTAAGGAAGCAGACATAATCCACATTGAGACTCCACAGAAAGTAAAGCACGTTACACTATAACCTCATTTAGTTCATATAACTGTGCCCTGTAACTGTGCCCTGTAACTGTGCCCTGTAACTGTGCCCTGTAACTGTGCCCTGTAACTGTGCCCTGTAACTGTGCCCTGTAACTGTGCCCTGTAACTGTGCCCTGTAACTGTGCCCTGTAACTGTGCCCTGTAACTGTGCGACCAAAGCGCCCCTGAGCGGACCCTCTTCTCAATCACTTGTCTTAAATAGCGTTGCACTTATAAATTAACCAGAAACGTTTTCTAAATCAGTTTTTCGCGAGGAATTCGAATTTCTTACTTTTAAAATCGTATCTTTTATCTAAAATTACCAAAAATGCAGAAAATACAAGTACGGGAACTTTTGGCGCACCCTGTATTACAGTAGTTTGGTGTCTCTTTGTACTCTACAGCCTTCTCGTTTCAATAAAAGCTTATTCTACTAAAGAAAAAGCGAATATAAATAGATACTTAGTTATTTAATTTGATATTTTTACAGCTGTAAATATAATCTTTTGAATCGTTTCCAGAAAAATCGGGTGTTGCTTTCTTCAGAAGAAGATAGATGCTGGAGAAGGCCACAATTTCGGTGTTGTTCATCATTAAAGTCATCATTAAAGTGATCAACTAAATATAATTCATCATTAGAGTCAAAATCTATTCACTGTTTAATAGAAATGACTATTAAATAAGCATCGAATGCGCCAGAAGGGGTTTCTTTTGTTCGAGAGATTTGTTCAAAACAAAGTTCTTTTCGTTTTCTTTTTCTTAATCATGTTTTCCTCCTTTTTCATTATATCTTTTGTTCGATCAACCCTGAACCTGTCACTTCTTTTTTTCTTTCTCAAGTATCTAAAATCCCGAGAAACACTTTTTTTTGACATCACTTTTAGAGAAACTTTTTAAAAAAAGAAAACAAAATCTCCAAAATCATGGAATCCTTGAGAATTTTAAAAGAAAAAGAAAGCAAAAATCATTTGAGGGAAAGAAAATTCTATTCGTTTTCGGTGATAAAAGGTGACTAAAAAGAGAAAACTACTGTCCTCTGTTCTTTAAATATTGTCCGATTTGCCGAATGCTGAATTTTGATCCCATTCAATTCACAGTTTGATTCCGCATCAAATCAGAAAAAAAAATTAGGTAAAACGGATAAAATCTGAAAGAAGGATTACGATAGCTTTTCTAAATTATTAGGTTGATGCAGATGAAACTTCCGTTGGAACCATAAACAAAGTCATGCCGATTCTCAAGAAATTAGATTTCACAAAAAATAATATAACTGTTTTAATCAACACCGGTTGAGTGATTGTTAATAAAGATTTTTCATCTAGCCGTCGTAGCCAACCGGATAGGAGTCTTGTCTTCGAGTCGGGGGGCTTAAGGGCTCGATCTCGGCGGTTAGAAAGATTCGTCCTTTTTCCCATTATGGGTTTTTTCTTAACAACATTTAGGCAATTGGTATAATTATTTTATTATTAAAAATTTCCTCCTTTGTGTTGTAAATAAAAATAAATTAGGTTGGTGCAGATAAAACTTCCGTTGGAACCATAAACAAAATTTATTATAAAAATCCTAATACAGAATTTCAATCCAAAAGATATTCGCCATCATTATCAATGACTCTTTGCCATCTTCCACGCAGAGAATGGATGCCCTTTTCGAAGAACTCGGGCAACTGCGACTCGAAGAAGTTGGACACCCAGATTTCAACTTCTTCGCTGTTTTTGAATTTTTTTTCTGCTAAAGAGTGCTGCATCGACCGAAACAAGTGGTAGTCGGATGGGGCCAAGTCGGATGAGGCAGAACTTCCCAGCCCAATTCCTCGATTTTCTGCTGAGTGATCTTTGCGGTATGGGGTCGAGCGTTATCGTGGAGGAATTTTGTAGTCGCCGAAGTTTACTGTAGACTCTTTTAGAAAAGAGTCTACAGTAAACTATAGTAAGACATTGTCTCCAAATTTTAATATAACAATCAAATCCTTTTTCCTAAAAGTTTCGAAAACGGCAAATTCACCTGCTGCAAAAATTGAAACAGGTGAAATTTTGAGTAATCGAAAGGTTAGCTTTAAAACTTTCAAATCATAAAACTTTCAAATCTTATTGATTATTTAAAATTTAGATATTTAATAATATAAGTTACAGGATAGTAATGGGAGAACCGATCAAAGTCCAACCGGGTCTCCAGCCACCACCGGGATCGGGTGAGTGTTAAGGATTTAGAGAAATCTCCCAAATTTAGTCCGTTGGATGGTTTGCCCGGAGAATCTCCATGATTGCCCGAAAGGAATGGAATATTTAGCGCTTGTTGATGAGTTGCAGATTAGACAGGCTTGTGTTAGAGCAGATACTTTTCTGGATAGCTTTTGAGCTACAATAGCCTTTAGATGGATTTGTCTAAAGGTAGTTGAATGCCTTAAAAGCTATCGTAACCTAGCGTTATTTAGAGACAATTGAATATCTTATGTATAAGTCAAAAAGTATCGTAATATCGTAACCTTTGTAGGAAATCGATGTGATCGAGCAATACATGAGTTGGGAAACGAAAAACCACTATACCGTTCTCAATAAGCAACACGAAAAGGTAAATGAGAGGATTTTATATTTGATTTTGAGAGAAAAATATCCAAAATACAGATCTACGACGTTTTCGAAGAGTCAAATATGTGGTTTCGACAGTGTTGCAGGCAAAAAAGGGGCTACACAATGCATGTGGTCGACAATTTTAAAGAGGTCAAAGATTGGCTTGAACTTGAGCTTGAGCTTGAGCTTGAGCTTGAGCTTGAGCTTCATTAACTCCTTCCCTTTTTAGGAAGTGATCCGCATCGATCGTCCATACAAATGTTGTGCTTCGGATAACTATTGTTACGCGTGTTTCCCATGTTGTGCTCAACATTCGATTATTGAGGCGCCACCAGGAAAACAGGTATAGACTTATTTTTGCCTTATATAGTTCAAAATCTACCATAAAAATTGCGTTTCAACCGCTTAACTGAATATTCTTAAAGAATTGTTGAAAAAAGGAAATTGCAGCTGGCGAACAATTCATTTGCGTCGAAATTAGACTTGCTTACTCAAATCTGTTACCTTTTTAGATTTTGACCCGAATTTGTATATTTTGAGCTGATTAACAATATTTCCGGGTCAGGTTTTGGCCTTGGCTTTGCTTCAGCTTTGATTCATCAGGCTTTCCTACAGTCTTGTACCACAGAAGTCAAACCCAATCTCTGGTCTGAGCTTGTTTCTAGGGGCTGGCTCTAGAACTTGATAGAAATACCTGGTAGAGGTCAAGTAATTGATCGTGCCCAGGGAGTAAACGAGCCAGCCAACCAATCCGGACATGACCTGATTCGGATTCCAATTGGATTTAATCCCTGACAACCGGAGCTTTGACTTTTCTGGTCCTACATAGTTATCCAAAGATAATTGAATATCTCGATAGTTAGTTTAAAAGTTATAGCCTTCTCTTCACTTCAATAAACAGAAAACCCCTCCTAGATTGGCGCAGTTCGTCAACGGGCCGCTTGTTGCTCTCCGTGTTTCTACATACGAGATGAGAATGGGACAAATGTTTTTAGCATTGAGGTGAAAAGGGTCAAAGTATTTTCCGCAAAGGATCGTATTTTTCAGGGTCCATGCAGTTGTTGCCTCAAATGTTGCACCTTTTGCGGGAAAGTTTTTCGAGTAAGTCTATGTTTTATTTGAAAAAAAATAGACTTTTCAGGTTTTCTCGGTGGAAACTGGTCACGAAGTGGGTCGGATAACGCGAAAATGGAATGGATATGCAAAGGATAAATACACAAATGTTGATTTATATGGGGTGACTTGTGAGTTGCTTGGAAAAGAGTCTAAAACGTTTTTTAAAAGTTGGGGTAATTTGGGAAAACATCGTAATTTTTCTTTCAACTTTTGCCTGATTCATTTAATTTTTATCATTCGATGAGGAATCAAACTGGGAGTTGAATAGGATTAAATTGACAAATTGAATAGAACAGACAAAATCTTAAGGAAAGATTACTGTAGCTTTTACTTATTACTGGAAAAAAATGGGGTATCCGTGTCGGAGTAGTTCACCCTTTAGTATTAAAACTTAGATAACAAAATAACAAATTGCCTATTCTAGTTCCAATGGATTTGGACGTCCGAATGAAGGCGAGTTTCATGGCAGTCACGCTGCTCATCGTGAGTTTGGAAAACAAGAAATTGCTTTTTAAAAGAAGTTCAGGATTTCATGCATTACGAAGAGGAATCCGATCATAAAAAGGAGACAAAAGAGACCAATAAACCGCAGAATAGTGATTGATCGACTGGAGAATTCCCGTAAAATCGTTTACTCGTGTAATTTTGATTGTGATTAAATAGACAAAGTAAAAATGCAGCAAAAACAAGGCAACGACAGCTCTAGCACTTAATTCCTTGGAAACAAACAGAGATAATTGCTAACTTATATAGTCCAAACTCTACCATCATAGAAATTGCGTTTCAACCGCTTAACTGAATATTTTAAAGAATCATAGAAAAAGGTAAATTGCAGGCGGCGAAAAATTCATTTGCGTCGAATTCATTCAAAAAAAAATTCAATTCATTCATTTGCATTACCGTAAACTTCTTACATCAAATTTATTACCTTTTTAGATTTTGTCCCAAATTTGGGGGTGTTTCTTGCGTCAATTTCATTTCTGCCAAAAATTTTTGCGCCAAATTTACGCTTATGAAAATCACTGTAACAAATCACTTTTTCCCAACCTCTAACAGACTTTTTCAGTTTTCTACTTTGACAATTTTGGTTCTCATTGTTTTCAATTAGAAAACACGTTTAAATACCTATACAGCCCCCAAAAACAGTCATTTTTGCGTCCCGGATTGGGCTTTTTACTTTCTGCATCGATCTTATGCCATTTTCAGAGCCGGTGAAGGCAGCAAAATAGCGAGCATCGTCGACGAGGAAAAGCTGAAAAAAATATCAATGTTCAATCAGAGTTGGTAGGAAAGTGTGTTGAAAAGCGCAAATAATTTTGCGCTTTTGCCAGCACCCCCAAATTTGTATTTTTTGAGCTGATTTCTCGTATTTCTCAATGCTAGCGCTATATTTGATATATCACTGAACTAAAGGCTAAATTCCTCGCTGTTTTACAAACAAAGCAATTCATTACCTCCATCGTGCTTTTCTGCTCATTTCCTATTCGTATTTGTCGATACTAACGCTCTACTTGACATAGCACTGAGCTAGACGCTAAATTCGTTGCCATTTTGTCCATAAACTCGACAACAAAAAAACAAAACATTGACTTCATCGTATTTTTTCCCCTTTCCTTTCCCTTTCCTTTTTGTTAACTCGTTTAATTATTCTTTTTTTTAGATGGCACCGGTGACGAGAGCAAATATCAAAGGATCTCGGAGTGCTACAACCCAAATGCATCTGCCCAAGTTCTTCGCGATTCGCAAACGAGGTGCTGGCAACAAAGGTTCAACGGATAGTCCAAAGAAGTGCAAAGTTGCCACGGAGAATCAAACGAAGGCCTGGGCTCCAATTCAAGCCAAGAAAGTGCTCGGAATCCTTTCCGAATTGCCTCCGATCTTGTACCCGGACTTCTTCGAGCATTTGAGTGGTTAGTTTGTTATCTTTCCTTCGTGGCGTTTCTTGGTTATAGGTGTTGAGGGTCATTATAAACTTTTAGCCACTAATTTCTAATCAATGCTCTGCGGTTTTTTATGGTGTAGCTTCTAAATAATTTAAAATCCGTTTAAACGTTATTCCCTTTTCGGCCATCTCATTGAAAACCAAGATAAAATCGTTGTTTTTAAGAGTTCTCTCATATTTATTTTAACAAATTTTTGCTTTAGCAGACGAGCTATTCAAACTTTCAATGCTATCAATGGATCTTTATGGGCTTGTGACGGACTTTATCTTTTCTGGGGCATTCTTGGTGAAATTGTTGAGGGAGATTGAAGATTTATCGGCGCCTGAAGTCTATCAACGTGACCAGAGGAATGTTGCTTACAATTATGGTAAGCAAAGTCCTATAAACGTGGCCAAACTTTGTTGCTTAGGACGACTCCTGAAAATGGCGACTGTGCTGAAGACTTCGGAGGAGCGTATCAAATTTTTAGTCAAGCTAATGGAGGCCGGATTAGAAGAAAGCAATATGAGTGCTTGGGGAATGATTCTGACAACAGTGAGTGGGGCAATTATTGCAAGTCTCAAACTAGAGTTTAGTATTCGGATTATTGGGAGTTCACCGAGTGTTCACGTTTGTTGGATGCTGTGCTCGACATTCACGACGGAACTTTGCGCAAACTTGTTGCAGAGGTTATGGTTTCATCAGATGGCAAACAACCAGAATTGGAGATGCAAGTGCATGCCGGCTTATAATTCGTTTTGTACATGGTCATTTAGGTAAGACTTGCCATACGTGGGCTGTTTTTGGATATGCAATACTCGGATCAAGCTGCCAGCGCGTTTTGGTTGGCTGCCGTTCTCAAGTTTGTTTCACTTTGATTTCAATGGATGATACTGCTTCTAGCAAGCTAACGACTCCGGAATACCGCCCAAAATTCTTCATGTTACTGTTTTTGGATCCCGTGGAAGCAAATGGAAAAAGTTTATGCCTTTTAGCATAAAAAGCAACAATTTAATTTTAGAGACTCTGGATTGGCGTAGGATGGTGACTGAGGTTATCACGTCGTATTACCACTCAATGCGCTTCATTTCGCCACTTTCTAAGGCGCTCACGCGTCTGCTCAGCACTGCCGAACATTTGACCCGTCCATGCCGAGCACTTGCCTACACACGCAGTATGATGTTCAATCTTGTTGAGGAAATCACCAGTGCGTAGATTGTAAAAATAAACCAGGTTCAACTGATATTTTAGCGTATCCTGAGCCATGGAGCCTTGACACCTACACAGCGCTTCATGTACATGAGCCATCTTTGATCTCTTTGAGCATCGAAATGCGTATGCAACAACAACTTTATGCAGAATCGGGAAATATACTGTCACAGGTCAAAAACGTAAGTGTTTGAAAGAAAGAGTAAATGTATTCCCTTTGTTTAGATGGCCGTTGAATGGAGCTTGCCGATCGAGAAAGTGGTGGAAGAGCCAATCCTGAAGCTGTTCACTTGGTTGAGCTCGACAACTCTTCGAAAAACTTTGCTTGTGGAGTTTGTCAAGGCGAACGCTAACCATTACGCGGAATGTCTGAATGGTAAGTCTCCCATAAATTGGTTTTTTTTTAAAATTATTTAGCTGGATTGTACCAAAATGTGCAACGCGAATTGTTGGCTCAAGAGAAAATTCGGGCTATTCTCTACCGTCTCTCATTGAAAGCATAAAGCACTTCTCGCATTGCCTGTGATCATAGCTTTTTTTTGTTTTTCCTGCTTTATATTTTGCTAACCGGTTAACTCTTGTATAATGTGGATTGAAACTAACTTATCTGAGTTGATTCATTTGTCAACTTTTCGTGTGATTGGTCAACTTTTATATTGTTGATTCATTGTTTGTGGCATACCCGCCATGTTTGTGAGATTGTTACTTTTGACTAACCTTGTTGTAGTTGTTGTTCCTGTTACTGTTACCCCTGAACCTAGTGTTCTATCGTTGTGTTATAGTTACTCCTAACAATAAATTTTTGTTACTCAAATGAATCGATTAAATGATTCGAATTGCGGCTTTGTTATCCGGCCAAATCTTTTAAAATTAATGAAGTTTGAAATTCATTGCTTTATCAGCTTCATTGTAAAGTTTTCAAAAAAAACTTTGTTTAGATCGACAATTAATGTCTCCAGCATTGACACGCGCGAACTTGCCCCCACCGCATTTGGTAAGCCTTAAATAAACGCATTGTGCTAAACAAGGTTTATACAGGGCGATTCGGATTTGCAATTCGAGGCATCAACATCCGAGGAGTGCCTCAAGTTTCTCCAGCAGTTGTCCTACATATCGGTCATTCAAATTCTGCATCTACGAGGCCTGCTTCCTGAATCCTCTTTTGCCAAGATTAAATGTGAAGGTGACAACTTTTATTTGATTTGAACAACATTGCTTTAGGACGTGTGATTTATCAATTGAACTTACGAGATGATAAAGCTCACAAAGTCTATAATCGGATAAGGGTCAGATTTTACTAATTTACTGATGTCTTTCTTTATTCAGGACCCAATCAATTCTATCCGTGATCAACTTCTCAAAAGATTTGTCATCTCCATCCGGCTGCCAGGTTGATATAAAGTTTGAGTTAGATAACAATAGTTTGTTTAGAAAAGCAACCTTTCGAAATATCGGTCAATGATTATGGAGCTTATGCGGACGAGGCGTACACAATCAAGTTGGCTTATGGGCAAAATGGACAAGTGCTGATTGTACGAGAAAGTGATGGGCGTATTGTCAACAAGATGTCTTATGAAGGTCCAAATTCTGTCAAGGTTGCCACGCTTAACTTGTTGCAAGCTATCGATGAGCTTAAAATGGTTTGTTTAGTAGCTTTTTATTTATAAATAATTTTAAGGTGTTACAACCGTTACCAAAAAAGGTCGACTACTACTTTCGTGTCACCATGGTTCAGTCAGGTTGAATCAATGTGCTTCACCGCATTTATTCGATTTTTAGAAGAATTTTCGGGTTATTTTGCAATCACTCAACCTCAGCAAATAGCAAATGGTGGATACAAATGCTTGTCGACGATAGTGCTCAAACACGGAAGGTTTTATTCTTTGTCTTATTATCAAGACCAAAACTTTAGAATGATGATGGACGTACAGTCAGCTTTCTTAAAAGACTTATCTGCGTCTGCATTAACAGCACAGGTCAGGAAAATCACCGTGCTTAAATAGCTTTATTTAGAGCCATGTTGATTCGATCTTCGAAAGATCTACTGTTTTTCACGACGAATTCAGTACGGTGGATGACTTTAGCAGCTTTCCTTCAAAGTAATTTTGCCATTTTTTAAATTCCTCAAGTTTGTTTACAGATTCCATGTTGATGAGGATAAACTGCGCACACTAAGTCTACATGAGAGAACAGAAAAATCAGCGAGTTTATTCTCAACGTTTGTTGATTAAGAAATATCAAATGCTTTTTGTTTAGTAGCGCGGCTTCTATGGGTTCTAAGGGTGAAAAGAAAACTGAAGAAGAATTGTGGAAAATCCTTGAAGAAGCCGACAGTCCAAAAAAGACGCGCAAAGAAAAAAAACGCACAGAAGAGGAGCTGAATATTCTCACACCAACACAGCCAAGGTTTTTTGATCTTTGGTTTATTCTTAATTTGTGTTGTTTTAAGTTTTGTTCCATCTTCGAATCAATCTATTGTCCTATCATCATATCATCGGGGCGTGAGGCTGGTACGGGATGAGTTTCAAGAACGGGAGTCGTTGGACGTTTTGAGTGACACATTTATGGATCGGCCTACGAGCGACACTTATGGAGCATCAAAAGAAGGAAGCCGACTCGATGTATCTAGTTATGTGCAAGTAGGTTTTAGTCAAATTATAAAACCTATTATCTGATTTAGGACACTCTCCTTGGTGTGACATCTTTGACACAACATTTGAGCAGCGGCTCTGAAGGGATCGATCATGATGAAATGGAGGTAATTGTTACTTGAAAATTAATAGATGTTTCATTATTTTAGTTTCCTCGTAAACGAGACTCACCTCAATCGATGCGTCACAGGAAAAAGTTTTATGGAGACGATACAATGCAAGGGCCATTCAGTACAACTGCTGTGGCGGACACAGTGAGGAGGCGACTTCCCGCATCACCCCTTCTAACCACAGCTGGTGAATTTTGTATGCATTTTTGACACTTATCTTGGCGATTTAGAATTACCGTTGCCACACAAAAGAGTTAGAACTCTCGGACGAACAAAGATTGAACATAGCAAGACTACAAAGAAGACCCCTATCAAGGTGAATAAAAATTTGCTAGATAAATTTAATTTTTCTAGAAGGACGAAAAGCTAAATGTCGATGATCCCTACACTTTCAAAGATGATGAAGAAGATGTGAAATTATTCATGGTTTTAGATAATATTTGATTGTAGACCATCAAGCTAGCAAGTACTCGGGCTAAGGCCAGTACAACTTTACATCAACGCAGTATGCCTTCACCGATGGATCCACTTTCTGGTATTGTTGCCACAATAAATTAGCTGATGTTATATTTTAGAGATTCCTCAACCACATCAGCGTACAGGTGGACTTCGAGCGAAAAGCAAGATAAAATTCATGGCCGAGGTTCTATTTTTGTTGTGAGATATCTATAATTTAATTTAGAAGCTCACAAAGTCTCCAAATCAACAAACCAAAAAGCAAGCTTTGGAATTGGTATAGTTTTACTAAAATAAATTCGGATTTTGTGCGCTTCAGGTGCATAACCGTGAAGCAGAGCGCCATACAAGCAAGAAAGTTGAGGGACAAAAAGGCTTGGAAAATGATGGGGAAGCGAGAAGTAAAGTTTTGTGATTTGCATAATAGATATTAAATATTAAGGAGGCAAGTGGCTGAGGAAAGGCGAAGAGAAGAAATCTTCCGTGACTACTCGTGTCGTGGAAATTATGACCCCCGCTAAGCTTGGTGAAGATGGTAAGTGATTTTAGAATCTAAATTTTTGAGGTTTTATTGAAGCATCTCAAGATTATTTTCAGATTCTACTCTTTCTTTTGAAAAGACTTTCGCCGAATCGGAGCCTCAACCAAGCCATACGGAAAGTGTCGCGATTTCATCAATCATCACGGATCAGTTTGATGTCTGAGTGTGTTATTAATCTTTTAATTTCGTTATTTAGTTGGTTCAACCATTGGGCGGTGAATTGCTTCCTCACTCTAAATTTCTGAGGATTCGATCAAGTCAAGGCTCAACTGCTGTTTGTTTATAAATATGGATTTTTTAAAGTATAGATTTTAGCAATCATCACTATCATCCAATGTCAAATTTTCAAAGAGCAAAAATAAACTTCAACTTCTGACTAACGCCAAACGTAAGAATGAAGAAGAGAAAGTAAGTTTTTTAGATTTTAGAATGTAGACAGACTGAATTTATAGCTTTGAATTTGCCTAAGGAATGATGGATGATTTTTAGGACAATGTCGTGGATGTGAGGCCTCCCGTGCCTATGAAGATTTCTCGCACCGAAAGTTTCATTCAAGAGCGTCTACGAAAAATCACACGTACCAACAGACTTGATGAGGAAAGCGACGAAGAACATTGAGATTTCATTTCCAATTTGGAATTTAACTAACAAAAATTATCTTGTGAATAGTATATTTAACCTGTGCACTCACCCATTGTGCTAACTTTGTTGTTTTTGTTCTAAATTTTTTTACATGTTTAGGTATTTAGGTACTCTTTAGGTACTTTGTGCTAATTTGATTAACCGATTGTTGTTCTTAACTTCGTTGTTGAAGGAAAATAAAGAAATTTAACAAGTTGAGATGTAGATTCAAAGATATGTGTTGTCAGCTATTACTACCTTCTAATTTACTAGTCGTGTCAGCAGAATTTTCCTTTGTTTACTTGTTTGTTTACGAAGCATTGGTTCGGGTACTGTTTATCCTTTTCGACTTTATGTGGACGACACTGCACTGCACCTACCGTAGCTCCGTGTAAGTAAAATGGCGGTGCAGTGAGTGCGCTTTTGAAAATTCCCTCCCTTCAGTTCTAATCTTTAGCAAAATGTTTACTTTGTTAAAATGCGTGTTATGTATCACATAAATGTGTAGGATGGGTGTTTTTCAAGTCTATTTTATTTATTTAAGATGGAGCATCATTTACACATACGGTCTATCAATGAATCACACTTTTATACATTTGATTGTTAAAGGCTTACTTTTATTTACTAAATTTATTGAATTTTCAGAATTATGGAGGAAGGACTCTTCTATCAAGAGCGTTTCTTCTCTAATGACGGAGTGCCTGATTATGGCCAAGAAACGGTCGCCGAATTCAAGCACATCAGCGACGTTTTTCGACGTTTCATCCGCGAGTTCAGCATTGGAGGATTTCAAATGATCTACCGGTAAGCACAAAGCTTTAAAAGACCTTATACACAATAATAACTGGACTTATCGGATTGATTTTAGTGAGCAGCTCAAAAAGAACTACAATCTTTGCAAATATCAATTGGACATCTCGTTGAATCATTTGCGAGTGTTTGATGAAGATGCTGAAAAGAAATTGCGCACTTATCCGATGAAATTTATGCCAGCGGTTAGGAGAGTGTTTGATGAAGCTTTCATTATTGCTTTCAGTTGGAAGAAGCAGCAAAGATTGTCGCCGATGAAGTGACCAAACCACGACCTGAAGGGCAAGAACAAGTGCAAGATATTCAGGTGTTGTTGCAATCTATGTGCAATTCAATTTGATCTATAGGTGACACTCGGACTCGAAGAATATTCAACGACGATTCGTAAAGTGAAGAGTACCCAAGTTTCGCAAATCATCAAAATTTCTGGAATCATTGTGGCTTCGAGTCAAGTAATGAGTAGTTTTTGTTGTTAAACTTCAAGGTTTTCAGGTGCGTGCCAAAGCGACAAAATTGACTCTTCAATGTCGACAATGCCACCACACAATTGCGGATATTAAGATCAAATCCGGATTTGATGGTTACGCTTTGCCTCGCCAATGTGGAGCGTAAGTACTTGATTATTTGATATTTCATGAGATAGGTGTCTTTTAGTCCTCAAACTGGCCAAATGCAACGTTGTCCGATGGATCCCTATGTGATTCTTCCCGATAAATGTATTTGCGTCGACTACCAAACATTGAAGCTTCAGGTTGTACTTTTGTTTGTTTTGCATTACAAGTTGTTTTAGGAAAATCCCGAAGATATTCCACACGGTGAAATGCCCCGTCATCTTCCACTTTACGTCGATCGTTACCTCACGGATAAAGTTGGCTAAACTGTGTTTAAATAACTATAAATATATTTTAGGTGAGCCCCGGCTGCCGTGTCACTATTTTGGGGGTATATTCAATCAGAAAGACAAGCATGCAAAAGGTTTGATTTAAAAGAATAATAATTAACACAAAAAAAAATTTAGAAAAATGCTGAGAAGTCAATGAGTGGTATTCGTGTTCCTTACATGAAAGTTCTCGGAATCAAGGTGGAAACGAATGGAGCTGGAAGGGCCGAATCAACGGAATTTACTCCCGAACAGGTGATTGGATTTATCAATATGTTTTATTTTTTTCTTTTTAGGAACGCGCTTTCCACGACATTTCAAAAAGGGCTGATGTCTACGATTTGATCTCGAAATCGATCGCGCCTTCAATTTATGGATCAGCTGATATCAAAAAGTCAATTGCTTGTCTACTTTTTGGCGGATCACGGAAAAGGTTAGATTTTGGTGGTAGATCTAATCACGACGTCTTTTAGAATGCCAGATGGTATCACTCGACGTGGTGACATCAACTTGTTGCTTCTTGGAGACCCAGGAACTGCCAAATCTCAACTTTTGAAATTCGTTGAGAAAGTCTCGCCAATTGGCGTCTACACTTCTGGTAAAGGATCGTCAGCCGCTGGTTTGACTGCATCAATTGTTCGTGATCCAAACACGGTTAGTTTCAAGAAAATTTCTACTAAAGAAGAAACTATTGTTGGATAAATGTGGCCCTACCCAAACTGTAAGAAGTTAAAACTGTAGTTGTAGCTAGACTTAGTAAAATTAGGTTTTAGCGCGGTTTCATCATGGAGGGCGGTGCCATGGTCTTGGCTGATGGTGGTGTTGTATGCATTGATGAGGTTGGTATCATTATCATTTGCGCTTATGAAATTCACTATAACAAATCCCTTCTCCCAGCTTCTAACCAATTTTTTTTCAGTTTTCTGCTTCGCAATTTTGATGCACACACACATAGAAAACACGTTTGGCGTAAAACTTATAATATACGTACATGCTCCAAAAAAAAGGTACCCGCCTTTCTAAATCGCGCTCTTTGAGTGCACCTCTTCTCTAATGCATTTTTACAAATGTTATTCGGGAATGTTACGTAGTCATTTTTCAATAATGTTCTTTTTTTAGGAATGGATTCTTCAAATGGAGAAGGGACGCTCTTTTCGACCGCGTTCAAATTGGAAGCCATTGAGTCTGCCGAAAAAGCATCGAATAAGAAAGCTGCCGAAAAGTTTCGAGTCGCGAGGCCAAGAATTATCGAGTGGCAGAAACAGCAAGAACGGCTGCTCACGGGAAATAACGATGCAAAGCGATTGAAAGGAGGCGAACGAAAGCTCAATTTTTTTCGGAAAACGATTACTCGAATTCTCTCGACGACCAGCAATTGCTCAACAAGTTCAACCTTATTCGATTGATTTCAAGCTGGACGCCATCGAATATGCAAAAGAGGAACTCCAAAATGATGCGAGCAAACCCGTGCCGATCGAGCAATGATCCATAAATGGGTTTTACAGGAAGGACAATTGCGAAAAATTGAGGAAATCGTTGATGCAATTGAAAAGAGCCGAGAGGGAACTTACAAACAAACAACTCGATCAAGGACGGGTCGACTGGATCCGAAGCAAGCGGCGGAAGAGGAACAAAGTTTCGAGAAGATGGATTCACGAAAAGGCAAAAAACGTGCGCGAGCAGGATGGCACTAGGCTTGGAACGAGGAGATGATCGCCCACTTGTTGGAGGAAATTGATCTTGACGAAGGTGAAGAGAACAAGTGCTACGACAGAGTTTCGAGAAGATTGATTCACGAAAAGGCAAAAGACAAAAGAGCAGATTGAAGTCAGCGATGTTAACGAAAATGATATCGAGGATAATTCATTTAAGTGATATGTTTGTTTAAAAATGCTTTTCATTTCGTTAATTGATTGTTGCCTACGTTAAAATTTTGTTTTACTAATGAATAAATTAATCATAAATAGCTCTGATTTGAATGAAAACTTCTTGTAAGCTATTTGCTTAATTTTGCGGCGCGGTTGAAAAAGCGGTTGTCTAAAATTATTAGTTGTTACTTGAATGCAATTTTCAAAATTTCACAAACTTTGTGGAAAATCTTGTTTCCATCAACGGCTTCATCGATTCGACCCGTTTCATTTTCGATCTTGTTGAAGATGAAAGGGAAAAGCTAGACTTAACTTTTGTGGTGCACTTTGTAAGTAAAAATCTGTAAACAGCGTGTTTCTGGCGCACTGAATACGAGGGTTTGCCGCTGTAGACTTTAAAAATTCATATCTGTACATATTGAGTGCAAATTAAACTTAAAAATCGATAAAAATGTAGAAAATTCAAGAATTTTAAAGCAAAACAACGAAATTTTCCACAGTAGAAATGGAAAGACTACCATACCCCAACGCTTTCTTTTTCTAAAACGCATCAACACGCCTTATTTAACTGAGAAGAATAGCGAACTTTCTCATTCTCGTGTAGATTTTGTTGTTTTAGCGCTTTCTGTTTTATCATTTTGCACATTAACGCTTTTGGTTCTTTTCCAATATCGGGGGAGCGGTCCGATTATCGGGGGAGCGGAAGGATTATCGGGGGAGCAAATTTTGGCAGCGCTACATATGTCCTATTTAAAATTGTGACGAACGGGAGCTTGCTTTGTTGCAAAAAGTTATCGACTCGAATTCCTCTTGAATGCTTGGGGACCTTTCGCCGTGCGCAAGTGTCACATGCCCAGCGAAATAGATATTTCCCCTTTGAGCGGACTTTCATCGATTCGCTAGTTTCAAATCCACGACTGGATGACTCCTTTGGTGACAAAATAATCGATTGCCGTCGATTTCTTGAACGCACAAATATCGGAGAAGCGCATCATCGTTAAAGTTTTAAAAAAAAATGTTGCAGTTAAAATACAGTCCCGGAAATGCATTTTTCGAGGGGGCAAAATTTGCTCCCCCGATTTTCCTTTCGCTCCCCCGATAATCTTTCCACTCCCCCGATATTGGAAAAGTACCACGCTTTTATATTGACTTTTTTTACAGGCAACGAGGCAATGAGTGGAGCAATCGAGTCGCGAATAGAAGTTGGGCCCTGTGGTTGCATGCAATGGCATGTAAGTTTGTGTTTTTTGGTCGTTTTTGGCAAATTAGATACCCGAAGTACTATAGAAGCTTGTCTAATATGATATTCTAATATGTCTTGGTTGAAAAGCTTAGCTAATATCTTGTAATAGTGCTAAGCAGAACAAATTATGAGGAGTTGTCAGTGAAAGAGTGAAATGCTTGGCGGCTTAAAGGTTTCATTGTTGTTTTACGAAGTTTGGCTATCTAATCATCAGAAGTTTAATCTTTTCGGTTCGTTGAATTTAGGAAGATTCGTATTGATGATGTCATCTGTTAGATAGATAGTAACAATCTTAAACCTTTTTAGAAAAACAACTCACAACAAGAACAGCTCCAGTGGCTCGCAGATGTCGTAGGGGGTGATAACAAGAAGTTACGACTAGCTGATGAAGTAATCTTTAACAATTATAGTTGAGCGAAGTATATTTCAAAGAAAGGACTGCAAGCTAAGTTTGTTTCATTTAGATTCTGAAGGGAAGTCATCAACTTCTCGCGGATATCATGAACAACGCCTTTATTCTTTCGTCGAAGCCATTTAGAAAGGATGAGCCAACGGAGAAGAAAGTAGGAGCGTTTTCGGTAACTTTTAACGTCTTTGGGCTAAATGCCTAGGTTTATTGCATAGTTATTAGTATAGATACTAGGTACAATTGACAATTGTTATTGCTTTTGATATCACCTATCTTTTAGCTCGAAGAAGCTATTGCGAAACAAAACGAGTTCGACCAAAGGATCGTCAATGTTCTGAAGAAGCAAGAGCCAGGGTTGGTTAATTCATCACAGTCAAAAACGAGTACAATTGTTAATGCAATTCCTTTAGGATTTCAAACGAAACAAGGGTTAGGACTAAATGAAACAAACTTCAACTTCAGATGCTTCCAATCTCTTCTGGTGGGCTTCTTGGTGATCGTCATAGTCTTCTTCGCCTCGCTCGCTTCCGTTCCCGTCGACTCAACCGACCCAAATGCGCTTTATGATCGACATCACTACATCTAAAATTTGCTTCCGTTCTAGATTTTTGGTCTTTCGCTCCATCGTTCGTGCATATATCTCTATCCATCTATCTATCTATTCTTTGTTTTCCATTTTCCAAGAATTTTTTGAGCATACAATGCCAATTAGTGATCTGCTTTTACTAGCTTTTCGACTGTCATCTTGCAAATTTCAGATATATCGTTGTCATGTTGAATAAAAGCTTTAAGGCACAGGGTGCCATGTATATTCACTTCAAAATTTTATTAAAAAGCAAATGGAAATTGATAACTTTGATGCATCAAAGCAATAGGCTTATCGATGTAAAAGAAAACGCGTTTCAGAGGTCAAAATTCGTTAAAAACCGCAAATAGAGGCAAGCTTGTCGGAAAATCGATATCTTTTTGGGGCAGTGGGGGAGAGATAAAGAATAAAATTACAAAAAAAGCTGATAAACTCAAAAATAAGTCAATTCCATTGTGCTGTTGATCTACTTGAGTTCCCTGAAATTTCTTGTTGTTCGACGATCATTGCGTAAACTGACCGCATTTTAAGATCTCCATTCGAGTAAGCACGAATGAGAAAATCCGCTTCTTGGTAGGGCTCAAATGTTGAGGGAACGACAACGTATTCACCGGGTGGAACACGGAAACGAACGGTCACCTAGAGAGCGGTGAACAATTCTAATCCATTTTAAACGTGTCAACTTTTTCTACGACTTTCTGCTTATCTCTATTGTTATCCAATCTATCCAATCTATCAAACGTTTTTTCTGATTCTTTGAGTATTCCATAAAGGGTATCAAAAGATGCAAAAAGTAGATGGATTCGGTAAAAATATAAACTAGATTACTGTAGAAGGAGACATGCTTTAGAGAATGAATTATTTGATATTACGGTAACGATTAGAGTTGTTCATTGATAAAGCTACAATTTTGTCCACTCACCTCTCGCATATTCGTGAACACGGGCACTTTGGCGAGCGATTGATTTGAGCGGAAGAATTGCTCGTTCAGCTTCACCCCGTTTCCTTGTGGAGCCTAAATTTTGGGCTAATGACTAATGACTTTGATATCTAATTTTACAAATCTTCTAGAAACCACCTTGTAAACGGAGAATCCAATCGGAAGATCGTCTTTCCCCTTTGGTCGGAGTTCGCGACGGAATTTTTGCAAAACCGCCACCACAACCTGAAATTTGATTGATGAATTGATTAAAAATAAAGCCGGACTTTGTTGATTCTTTTGAAATTTGCATTGTAATTGCATTGCCAGCTTACCGTGCAATTTCCATCGCCTTCAACCCCGTTCTTTGCGTTCGTGAGCGACAATTGGAATTGTGGATTCTTCGGGAAGGTGGCTAAAAGAAAGAAGAGGTCACTGTAGAGCCTTTAGCCAATAAAATTAGATCTTTCTTTTTCAACTCACAAATATAATTGATACATCCCCCAGCGGTGTTCGCTTGACTGCTCCACGAGCCATCACATTGATCCTCTTGCCAGCTGGAAAGTTACGAGTTAAGATATGGTGACGAAGGTTTTAAAGATTTGAAAGTATTAGGGAAGTTTGTTTTTGTTTGTTTTTGGTTTGTTTTTGGTTTGTTTTTGTTTGTTTTTGGTTTGTTTTTGTTTGTTTTTGTCTTTTTGTCCCATGCAAACACCCACGATCCAGTCTCTTTCCCATCATCGCGCACCACTCCCGTCATTCGCTCGATCTCGTCTTCAACCTAAAAACTTTTGTTACAAAGTTGATAACTTGAATCAAGTACAGTAAGCTCATGGATGTGTTTTAATAATTGATCAATTGCTAACTCAAAAACTCTGTTAACTGTTAAACTGTTAACTCAAAAAACTCACATCGGCTGACAAGTTGCAGACTTCCAACTGCTCGAATGAGGTGATGAAATCGTCGAAAGATATCCTAAAAATTCTTCTTTTGACTCAAGTTCTTTGAGATTTGTATGAAAATTTCACAACTAGATTCACAAAACCTATCATTAAACCATTCGGTCACTCACCAAAACTCGCCATCCGCATTAAAAGCCACTTGCAGCTTCGACTTCTCCGTTTGGTTCACCGAATTCCACAAAGGACTGTTGTCCGACCAGGCGCCGTTCCATTCCTGGAAATGGATGGAAATTGAATGGCTTTATATTTAAAGAATACTAATCTAGCTTTAAACGGGATCTCCCAGCAATCCACACCTTACTATTCCCCCACGGGTTTCTCACGCGAAGCAGCTCCACATCACCGGACGAGGTTGGCACCTGGAAATGATTTCTTAGCTTAAAATTGAATACTATAAATCCTCTATTAGACTGGCATCCTTTATTAGAGCGAAACTCGGTACTTGTGGAGTATCCGGGGGATCTTTCAATATCCGGTGGGGCAAAATTTTTGGGGGGTAGTCAAAACAGCGCCATAATAGAAAACGTTCAAAACAGCGCCGTCAAATTTCTCAAAATCCAAAAAACCAAGCCGGTTCAAGTTTTATATCAAAAAATTCCTTGCGTTCTTGGCTACATGATGGGTGAAACAGTTTTTAAAAAAAGTTAATATTTCATAGATAAAAAGAGCACTCAAAATGTGTGTCGAGTGATACTCAGTTGGTTAACTGAATATCTTTAGAGACCCATTTTGAGTGCTCTTTTTATCTATGAAATATTAACTTTTTTTAAAAACTGTTTCACCCATCATGTAGCCAAGAACGCAAGGAATTTTTTGATATAAAACTTGAACCGGCTTGGTTTTTTGGATTTTGAGAAATTTGGAAATTTGACGGCGCTGTTTTGAACGTTTTCTATTATGGCGCTGTTTTGAACGTTTTCTATTATGGCGCTGTTTTGACTACCCCCCAAAATTGGGGGGTAGTCATTATATACGTTATACACGACCCCTTTTAAAGATATTCAGCCGCTTAAGTGATTTGGTGGCAAATTCCCTTCAAATGCAAAGATATTCATTTTATTGAGGTTGGTTTTTGAAAGTTTACCCCGGATCTTAAAATTTTCTACATTTATTAATATTTTCTTTTTAGATGATGGAGACGTTAATCGAAGAGACGGTCAACAGCAAAAACATGCAACTCGAGCGATCATTGGATGAAATGAGCGATGCTTTTGCGAGTTTTCTGATTATCGGGACTGTGAAAAAAGGATTAACCAAGAGCTTCGATGACGATGGAAGTGACGATGGAGGAGATAAGGAAGCGAGAGAAACGACCGGACGAGGAAGGGATGCAAATGAAGCCGAGGATTTGACGTGTGCAAGAGGAGCAAAGCGGCGAGCCTTTGCCTTTCAGCCTTTCAAGCTTTTCAAGCTCGGAGTGTTCGAATACGTCAAGGAGAACTTAAATCAAGAAGCTGCCAAACATTTTCGAGTATCACGATCGTCGATTCAAGATTGGAGAAAACAAGAAGAACTTCGGTATTTTGTGGGCGAAATGTCGGTTTTTCAGTTGAGAACCTATGGCTAAAACTGTCAAATTCGTGCTCAACGCCCTCGATTACCCCTAGAAAGGTGAAAGAAAAGTGAAAAAGTCAAAAATATAGGTGCTCCCCCAACCCACAAAGTACCAGAACTTCTCAAAATGGAAACAAGTCAATGGCGATGGGCGACATTTGGCGGATTCATTCAAACAATGCGCAATCACTACAGGACTCGATAGATCGGAAGATCAATCGATAGATCGAAAGACCAATCGATAGATCGGAAGACCAATCGATGGATCGGAAGACCAGCTCATTTCAAAACAAATGAACCTATCCCGATTGGAGATCAAAAGCTGAAAGATGCACAAATGGATCAAAAAGTTTTGGCTCTTCTTGAAGAAACAGATAACCACCGAAAATGATGTAGCAAGCTTGATTTTGATGCACCATTGGAGTTTATTGATTAGGTAAATACTTTATCATGTTTTTTTTATCTTTGTACATTAGCGGCATACCGGTCTAATAGATGATTTACAATATTTTCTGTTTATTTATCGAAATATACCCGATTTTAGCTATTGCAAATGATTTATAGCCAAAAGAAACCGTTTGAACAGCAGTGATGCTGTACGCGTGTCCCATGATTAACCCGTTTCTCAGCTGGTTCTCAAAGCTGTTTGGATCGGCCTGAAAAGAGAATCTTACTATTTGCTAATTCAGTAATTCACTATTTGCTATCTCAAAGTCGATTAGATTTTACTTTTGCATCAAACTCACATCAATACTTGCACAGAAGAAAGAGCCCATTTGAAAGCCGCGAACAATCATAGCCATCAACGTGTTCTTGTCGGTTTTTCGCAAATCAAAATGCTCAGTTAGACCACCTGAAATATTTTCGAATACTGACAATGAAATTTAAAATTTATTTTTGAATCTGTAGCAAATTGACACTGCTTTGCAGTTAGGCAAAATTCAATACACAAGTTAAAATTCAAAGCTGATCGATAAACTGGTCCAGCTTTGAGTAATCAGCCACTAGACGATATTCAGTTGTTCGTTTGTCGTAGCTTGTGTACTTAAAAGCCCATTTAAGCATTATTTAAGCTTTGTTTTGAGTGAGTTGTGAGCCCCTTTTTCTATTCATCCTTTTCACACGCAATTGTTGAAATAATTGTGATAGTGCCAGGTTGCTCCAGTTTAAGCGACGCAAAGTTTACCCTAATAAGGGAAAATTTTGATAAATTATGCGCTTTCAAGACAAGTTTACCCTAATAAGGGAAAGTTTTTGATTGTTGTTGTGCTTTCAATACCATCTACTATTAAATCACACCGAGAAACGGTCTCACAAGAAATTATAAAGATCAAAGTATAAATATTGGGTTGGTGAATTGAAAACTGCGGGATTTTGAACTAAAATGTGATAGTGCCAGGCTGCTCCAGTTTAAGCGAAGCGAAGTTTGCCATAATAAGGGAAAGTTTTTGATTGTTGTTGTGCTTTCAAGACATCTACCATTAAATCACACCGAGACACAAGAAACAAGAAATTATAAAGATTTTAGTCTCACAAGAAATTATAAAGATCAAAGCCTAAATATATATTTCTTACAGAATCCGAATTCAACTTGAACTTCTTAAAAGTTACCCGTAAAATCCTCGAGCGCGTCCATCGGAAGTCCACCATCGAGACACTCGTAACAAGTGAACATTCTGGAAAAGAAAGCTCAATAAGTATACTAGAAAACAAGCGTTTACAAGAATTTTACATGGTAAATCAATAGAGATTAAATTGATTATATTCTATAGATTCTATTCTATCGCTTCTATTCTATCGATTCTATTCTATCAATTCTATTCTATCAATTCTATTCTCTCAATTCTATTCTATAGATTCTATTCTATCAATTCTATTCTATCAATTCAATTCTATCAATTCTATTCTATCAATTCAATTCTATCAATTCTATTCTCTCAATTCTATTCTATAGATTCTATTCTATCGATTCTATTCTATCAATTCAATTCTATCGATTCTATTCTATCAATTCTATTCTATAGATTCTATTCTATCAATTCTATTCTATCAATTCAATTCTATCAAATCTATTCTATCAATTCAATTCTATCAATTCTATTCTATCGATTCTCTTCTTAAATCTCACTTGGCATAAGCTTTCTCAACAAGAGCACTCCAGAATTCGTTTTGTGACGCCGATCGCATGTAAATCAATTTCCCGTTGATCGTTGGAAGACTAAAAAGGAAGATTTCTAATAGAAATTAGCCTAACTATAGATATCACAAGTATTTCAGAGCCAAGAGACAAGAACTCGAAGTACTCGAAGTATACAAGAACTCGAAGTACTCGAAGTATACAAGAACTCGAAGTATCAAAGTATACAAGAACTCGAAGTACTCGAGGTACTCTAAGTATACAAGAACTCACTGGGTTTTCCCCATTGAATGTCAAATAAGAGATTTGAATTATTTACCCATACTTTACACTTTGCCCATTTTACAATACAATTCGAATTCCCCCTACCGATCGTCGATGACCACATCGACCCATTTCCCGTAGCGCCAAAAACGGAAATGGAAAATCCCCGCGTAATTCTCGGTAAAACTCTGATCGGGTGGGACAACGCGGAAGAAAAGTTCGTCACTAAAAGGGTTAAATGAATGGATTATTGCATTATTGCCTCTTCCCCTCACCGAAGTGTCAAATTCGCGATTGCGGCTAGTAGCCAACAATCACCGAGTTGTCCTTGACAAACATCGAAACGACTCTCACCATCAACGAGAAAACATGGATCTTGGATAATATCCTGGAAACAGCTCAAGATTTGATGTTATCAAGTTATCGACTTAGTTGAATCGATTGGATACAACGATCTCTTTCTCTGTAAAGTCGAAAATACAAATAACAAGGTTCCTTTGGGTTTTGCTGGATGTTTTAGAAACATTCAAATTCCCCATTTGATATTATCAAATATCAAATGTTATCAAATCCACTTGCTAACAAGGTAACTAACGATATAAAACATTGCACTTACATGTAGTCGATGCTAACAAGGTAACTAACGATATAAAACATTATACTTACATGTGGTCGAAGCCATTTCACCGGCCCGGATGGCGGTTGTCTGTAGTAGAGACTTTTCGACTCGGCTGGGAACTCTGGATCTTCGAAAAGTGTTTTCGATTCGATACAACGATCTCTTTCTCTGTAAAGTCGAAAATACAAATAACAAGTTTACTTTGGGTTTTGCTGGATATTTTAGAAGTATTCAAATTCCCGAAATTACTTGTTGAAATCCAATCCCAGCGATTCGACGCCGGTCACCGCTTGAATCGCCGGCTTTTGTTGAAGGGGTTCAACCTGGAAAATGTTTTGCTTTTAGAAAATTCTCATATTTTACAATAATAGATATTTTAGCTATCTAAATCTAAACCTAGATACCTTTTGATCTTCTCCACTCAAAATCTTATCGAGCACAACTTTCCCGACGTCGCTGATCTTGTTGTGGCGACCACCCTGAAAGGTTTTTGATTCAAATTTGCCAACAAAAAGAAATTTGAACTTTTTTTTTGAAAATAAAGTGATTTTTCACATAAATTTGTTTGTTTGTTTGTTGGTTGGTTTGATTGTTTGTTTGTTTGATTGTTTGTTTGTTTCTTTGTTTGTTTGATTGATTGTTTGTTTGGTTGTTGGTTTGTTTGTTTGATTGTTTGTTTGTTTGATTGTTTGTTTGATTGTTTGATTGTTTGTTTGTTTGATTGTTTGATTGTTTGTTTGATTGTTTGTTTATTTGATTGTTTCTTTGTTTCTTTTTTATTGTTAATTGATTTGTGAATTGTTAATTGAAGGGATTATTGGTTAGAATTTCTTTCAAATTTCACAAACTTTATGGAAAATCTTGTTTCCATCAACGGCTCCATCGATTCGACCTGTGTCTTTGTCGATCTTGTTAAAGCTGAAAGGGAGAAGTTAGACTTTCATTTGCTATAAAGATGGAAATAGGTTTGGCTTGGAATTCTAGGTTATAATTTCTCATTTCTAGTTCATAAAGACAGAACTTGAAATCTATCAAAGCTAGACCTAATCTGATTTGATCTTTAGAATCATTTATAGAATAATCTTTAGTAAATGATCTTACTGATGATCACATTTCCAATCCTTGTCCCCGAAATGACGATGACGACGCCAGTGATGACGGAGATCTGAAAAAAGAGATTGCGAATGACAGAAACCTTAGAAATGGAGGTAATATGGTGTTAAAGCCAAGAGAATGATGAGTTGATTATCTTTTTGAGCTTTGTCTCTATGAATACTCGATCATATTGTCAGCTCCGAGCTAAACTGATGTTTAAGTTACTATTGTTATTCTTGAAGGATTGTTCTCCCCTGTGCTTATCCCTTTCATCGAGAAAGGGCGGCTTGGGGTTGCCTAGGGGGACAAGTGAGGCTAACTTGAAGTCCCCCTTTGAGTTAAGTTAAAGAGAGTGGACTCCTTTTGATATCCTGCCATCTCTAACACCTCGACAACCCGATTCAACTCCTCCAACGTATTAGAGGGGAGTCGCTGTGAAGTTGCAGTTGCAGTTGTAGTTGCAGTTGTAGTTGCAGCTGCAGTTGTAGTTGCAGTTCAGGCCGGTCCCCCGTTTCCCCTTGCAATTGTAATCTATTCGTCTTATCGTACTACTGTAAATAAAGATATAGGATCTCTGCAACTGCAGTTCAGGTCGATGATTTCACAGCGACTCTCCTCTAATACGTTGGAGGAGTTGAGTCGAGTTGTCGGGGTGTTAGAGATGGCATATCAAAAGGGATCCACTCTCTTTAACTTTACCCAAATTCTAGTCCATATCCGTTTACTCCTAGGAACGGACAATATTCAATGCTCTCTTTAGCGCCTTTAGCCTTTAACTCACGTCTTTTTTGCCCTCCAATCCGATGCATAAAATGCCGAATGTCATTCAAATCCGAGCCACCAAAACCATCAAAAGCATCTGAATCAATTCATTGAACTTTGAATGTTGATTTGGTTTTTTTTATGAAATCAATTACTAATTTAATGCTAAACTGTATAGAATTTAGAGCTTCTGTATGGAATTTCGATCTTCTGTATAGAATTTAGAGCTTCTGTATAGAGTTTAGAGCTTCTGTATAGAATTTCGATCTTCTGTATAGAATTTAGAGCTTCTGTATAGAGTTTAGAGCTTCTGTATAGAATTTCGATCTTCTGTATAGAATTTAGAGCTTCTGTATGGAATTTAGATCTTCTAAACTCCCAACTATGACACCGCGTTGATGGCGCGAATTTTCTGTGAAATCTTCCTTGTGTCCGATCGATTAATGGTCGATGAATGATGGAAATCTTTGTATAAATGATCTCCATTCTTCCGTTTATTTCCAATTGACGCACATTTGAATAATAGGTATCTTTTGGGGGTTTATGCATTTCCTTTAAGAAAAAGAATTCATTTTGAAAGAAATTGAAAACTTTAGAGAAAAATGTTTTGTAGATTTTAAGGCTAAATTTATAAACAAATCTTTTCAAATCCACTAAATTACTTTTTCTTTTGTGAAATTGAATCTTTAATGCAGAAGAATTGAAGAAGAAGTGGAGAGGAATTGAAGAAGAATTGAAGAAGAATTGAAGAAGAATTGAAGGAGAATTGATGAAGGATTGAAGAAGAATTGAAGAAGAATTGATGAAGGATTGATGAAGAATTGATGAAGAATTGAAGAATTCAGTGCAATAGAAGTATTTGTCGGTTCTACATCCACAGAGAATCCATAGACTCAACTCGGTTAAGCAAGAAGCTGACAACTTGTGTGGGGTGATGATGTTCAGTAATTGTTGGTTTTGAAAGTAGAGTGCTCGTCTGAAGTGTGACCAGTCGATCAGTTGAACGAAAATCGATAACCGAGAAGACTCGGATGGGGTTGCTTCACCGAGATGAGTCTTTGTGGATATCCACAAAGAATCATAAGCGACAAGTAGCGAAAGTGTGTACAGCTTTACACTAGTTACAACGCTAGTTTACAAGCTCAACTTGTAAACACTTTTTATCGCAAGAATACAAAAAAATATTTCATAAAAAAAGAGAAAAGAACAAGAAGGTACATGGCTTCTGGAAAGTGAAAAGTGAGTAAGTGATAAAATTTGATTGGATTGGGCTGCCTCACTGCCTCTTTTTGGATGTATAAGGTACTGAAAGTGTTTACAACTTTTTGACACTAGTTACACTAGTTAGTTTACAAGCTCAACTATTGCAAGCTCAAATATTGCAAGCTCAACTATTGCAAGCTCAAATATTGCAAGCGCAACTAGTTTACAAGCTCAACTAGTTTACAAGCTCAACTATTGCAAGCTCAACTATTGCAAGCTCAACTTATAACCATTTTTTATCGCAAGAATACAAGAAAATCTACAAGAAAAGATGAGTGGAATGAAAATCGATAACCGAGAAGACTCAGATGAGGCTGCTTCACCGAGATGAGTCTTTGTGGATGTATAACCGATAAGTAGCGAAAGTCTTTACAAGCTAGTTGAAAAGCTCGACTTGTAAACACTTTTTGATTTCAAGAATACAAGAAAATATTGCATAAAAAAGAGAAAAGGACAAGAAAGTACGTGAAATATTTTTGTGAAAAGGCACAAAAAATGAGTGTCAGCCTTGAAAATGAAAAGAGAAAAGAAGAAAAAGAAGAAAAAGAAGAAAAAGAGGAAAAAGAAGAAGAAAACGAATCAATTTTCAGCCACAATTCTCTTCTACACTCAATTTTTGAGTTCTCTTTTCAGATTTTCAATTTTATTTGTACAATTGTGTACAACTTTTGATCTGAGATATGAAATTTTGAGTTTTCTTTTGTCTAAAAACAGAAATCTCTTTCGATTCTTTAGAAGATTGTTTTCGAAATAGAGTTTACTCAAAAGTAGACTTCGGAAAACAAAACTTAACCAAAACCAAAACTACCAAAACCAAAACCATAACAAAACCAAAACAAACCAAAACCAAAACCAAAACTAACCAAAACTCGCGAATATCTCGCGACTGGGAGGAGCTAGCGAAAATCTGTTTGCAGATTTGAAATCAGCATCCAAAAATCTATCCCATAGGCTATTTTTTGTTTCGAAATTTCGAGGTCGTGTTTTGGTCCTTTTTTCGGCCGCGAGATTTTGTGGAGTGAGAAAAAGTGAAAGGCTAATTTGCATTTTACATTAAAATTTGCATTTTTCAATTCTAAATTTACATGTTAATTTATATGCAAATTGAGTTTTGGTTTGTTTTGGTTTTGGTGTTTTGGTTTTGGTTTTGGTCTGTTTTGGTTTTGGTTTTGGTCTGTTTTGGTCTGTTTTGGTCTGTTTTGGTTTTGGTTTTGGTCTGTTTTGGTTTTGGTTTTGTTTGCCGAAGTCTACTCAAAAGTATACAGAAATTTTCTTATTTTAACATAAAAGAATTATATTATTAAGGTTAAAATCGATAAAAAGTTAACAATATAGGGGGTAGGCTAGTTTTTGCAACTTTTTTTTTGCGCAACAGGGTTATTTGCGCAACTGGGTCCTTTTGCGCAACTGGGTCATTTGCTGGGTCGTTTGCGCAACTCACCATAACCTTTTTTCTAAGTGGATCAATCTTTATAGTTTTGGTTTCATTTTGTTGCACTTATTGAGATCTACAAAATGAAACCAACATCATAAAGATTGATCCACTTAGAAAAAAAAGTTATGGTGAGTTGCGCAAACGACCCAGCAAATGACCCAGTTGCGCAAAAGGACCCAGTTGCGCAAAAAAAGTTGCGGAAGCTAGCTTATCCTCAATATAGCTTTACTTTTAAAAGTAGAAATTGTTAAATGAAAATTTGAAGTTAAAAAATGAATTTTTAAGCTTTCTTTTAAAAAAAAATACCGACTGGGGCTACCAGTGGTGAATTTATCGCAGACACGAAATATATCAATCACAATACAACGACACACACAATACTAGGCTATATCTTAACTTAACCCACGTCATGACAGACGGCTCCCTAACCCTAAGCTCAATGGGGAACTAAATAGCTTTTTTTGGTGGTGAAGGGAAGATGACGATGAAGGAGTGGCTTGTCACTTTAAAGAACTGGGGCCACAACCACCAGACTGCCCTCCAGAAAACCTCTCAACCCGAAGGGAAAGGAAATCCGAAGGGGGTGACCATGTCGCATGTGGGGTTCGAACCCTCGACCTTCCGATTAAGATAAAAGACACTTAACCAGTCAGCCACACGTGCTTGATTAGATAAAAGTGAATTAGAAAAATTGAAATTGAAATTGACTTTAAAAAAGTGTTTAGTTGTTAAGAAAAATTGAAAAAAGAGGTTAAAAAGTGGAGGACAGCTGAGTAAAAAGAGCTGAGACAAAAGAAAAAAATCGAAAAAACGGCTGGCTAGAGGCGTTTTTTCTCATTTTTTTTCTTTTCTTTTGGACCCGGCTTTTTTTGAGAAGAAAATTGTGGAAACGAAGAGATTTTGAGAAAAAAAAGAGAATCCTTTTCATTTTGAGTGCATTTTGTTAATCTGCTCTTTGAGAAATTGGATTTTAAAATGGAAATTGATCTTTTTAGGGGTAGGCTAGTTTCCGCAACTTTTTTTGCGCAACAGGGTCATTTGCGCAACTGGGTCATTTGCGCAACAGGGTCATTTGCGCAACTGGGCCATTTGCGCAACTGGGCCATTTGCGCAACTGGGCCATTTGCGCAACTGGGTCATTTGCGAGATCTACAGACCCCTCTTTTTAGCATAAAAAACACTTGTTTCTTGTTTAGAAATATTGAAATTAATTAAAATGAATTAAAATGAATTAAAATGAATTAAAATTAATTAAAATTAATTAAAATTAATTAAAATAAATTAAAATTAAAATGAATTCTTAAAATTGAAACTCTTTCCTTTAAAATTATTGCATTTTATTTGTAAAAACAAACCTTTAATAAACGTGTAATATCTTCTCTTTTCGCTTTTCCAATGATTTGTTTCGGTTTTGAAATGCGATTTTGTATAGGAATCGTCTTTTTGAGGGTGAGAATGATTCGTGATTACTGTCGGCGGGACATCATCGTCCTGAATTGCTTGTTTGGACTCGAGATTGTAAAGCAAAGGGGAAATTAGACGAGAGGTCGATTCTCGGAGTACTTTATGGGGTTAAAGTTTATGAGTTTGTAGCCACGTCAGATCAAGCGGATCGAGCATGATTTTAAAACATTTGACACGGCACTGCCCCTTTTCCCATTAGCAATCCAACTTTGAACTCAAATTTCTTGGTGTTAAGCTGTTCAAATGATATCAATTTTGTACCAATCGATAGAGAAAGACTTGGCGAATCGAATGATACCAAGAACGTTTAAATTGGACAGCAAAACACCAAGATATTTGAGCTAAAAGTCAGATTGCTAATGGAAAAAGGGCGTATCAAAAATCTCATGGGACGGCAAAACTGGATCGTAAATTGGATCCCATTTGCCCCCACCATCTTGCCATTGGCAATCTAACTTTGAACTCAAATTTCTTGGTGTTAAGCTGTTCAAATGATATCAATTTTGTACCAATCGATAGAGAAAGACTTGGCGCATCTAATGATATAAAGAATATTGAAATTGGACAACCCAAAGACAAGAAATTTGAGCTTAAAGTTAGATTGTTAATGGGAAAAAGTGGAGTGGCGATAACCGGCCTAGAACCCTGCTTTCTGGCTCTCTGGCTATTTTTCAAAGCTCAAGTACACCAGAAAGAGTGTGTTTTTGTGGTTTCAAAACATAAAGTACACTTTGAAAATTTTTTGTAAGCCTAGATTCAATTGTATCCAAAGCCCAGCTTTGGGTACAATTGAACAATTGTTTTTCAACAGTTTTTGAAGGCATTTTTTGTCAAGTTTTGACTTAACAATGATGAATTCTGCTATTAAAACACAGCTTTCCATAGTTAATAAACAAGGAATTGTTCAAGAATTGTTGAGAATAATCAAGAGAAAGAGAGAAATCAAGAGAGTTTCTTTTCAAAAAGCTTACAATGAATGGAATGGCCGCCCCAGCATCGGCTGATTTCCCGTTTTGGTGATTGGATCTAAAAATTGAGAAATTTCCACTGAAAAACTTCATTTTCCACAAAAATATCTTGTAATTTGTCATTTAAAGCATGCAATTTTGTGCTTAAATCAGGTCAGAATCCAAATCCAGAACTGATTCCTGACAGACCAGAGACCAGGAAGAGGACTTGTGCTTAAATCAGGTCAGAATCCAAATCCAGAACTGATTCCTGACAGACCAGAGACCAGGAAGAGGACTTGTGCTTAAATCAGGTCAGAATCCAAATCCAGAACTGATTCCTGACAGACCAGAGACCAGGAAGAGGACTTGTGCTTAAATCAGGTCAGAATCCAAATCCAGAACTGATTCCTGTCAGACCAGAGACCAGGAAGAGGACTTGCAACAAAGCCAAAAGATTTCTGGCCAAGTTTGAGAAATTTCCACTGAAAAACTTCATTTTCCACAAAAATATCTTGTAATTTGTCATTCAAAGCATGCAATTTTACTTTTAAAAGTTTAAAAAAAGTGCGCTTGTTTAGAGAAAAGAAATGAAAAGAAAAAAAAGAGAAAAAATCGGTGCTGAACTCAGAGCATGCGTTTTTTTGACGAGAAAAACCGTAAAATGACTGTATAAATAAGGTAAAACAATGAGTTTTCTATTAATTTGCATCACATTTTACAGCTTTTCAAAACGGCAGGCAAAAAGTGAGGGAAATATTTGCATTTTTTCTTGCTTAACCAAAAAGGTACTCTTGGCGGCGATGCGACCCCTTTGGGAAACAGCTGCACAATGAGAAGAGTCCTCGTTGTCTGCAAATGGAAGAAAAGAATAGTTATTTATTATATTTATTAAATAGAATAGTTATCTATTATATTTATTAAACAGCTGCACAATGAGAAGAGCCCTCGTTGTCTGCAAATGGAAGAAAAGAATAGTTATTTATTATATTTATCTCTTTATCTCTTTATCTCTTTATTTCCCATTTTCCCCCTACTTTGGTTGCTCTTTTCCCTCGTAGTCCAACTCTTGAATGTTCTCTCGATTCTGTTGCCGTCGCTCGATTCGTTTCACGTCCTCTTCCGTGAAGTTCATCGGATCTGAAACGGGAAGATCATCGGGAAGATCTTCGGGAAGATCTTCGGGAAGATCATCGGAAAGATCTAAGATCTTCGGGAAAAGATCTTCGGAAAGATAATTCCTAGGCTAGGACTGAACTTGGCTTGATTTCTGACTAAGATTTATAATCAACGTCAAGACCAGAGACATCCCAGAATCTCAGGTCCAAACCTAGTTTTTGAATGGAAAGCCCGAAAAGCCAGACTCCAGAACTTGGCTTCTGATTCTGGCTCTAGCTTTTGGCTTAGTGCTTAAACCAGGCCAGAATCCAGATCCAGAACTGATTCCTGACAGACCAGAGACCAGGAAGAGGGCTTGCAACAAAGCCAAAAGATTTCTGGCCAAGATTTCTTATCAAAACCAAACCAAGACCAGAAGCCAGGCCTTGATTTAGTCGAAGCCTCTAGATCTGGATTCCAGTTTTAAATCCATTCATTCCTGATACTTGCAGCCAAATCCAGTGCTCAGTTAGAGGCTTGGATACTTGTTCTAAAGCTATTTCTAAAGCTGGTTCTAAAGCTGGTTCTAAAGCTGGTTCTAAAGCTAGTTCTAAAGCTATTTCTAAAACTGGTTCTAAAGCTGGTTCTAAAGCTAGTTCTAAAGCTATTTCTAAAGCTTTTTCTAAAGCTATTTCTAAAGCTATTTCTAAAGCTAGTTCTAGAACTGGTTCTAAAGCTGGTTCTAAAGCTAGTTCTAAAACTGGTTCTAAAGCTAGTTCTAAAGTTAGTTCTAGAACTGGTAGCATTTAAAAATCAAGCTCAAAACCACGGACCATCATCAGGCTCTAAATCCCCATGATGAAAGCATATCTCGGTGTGATGAGACATCTAAATACGAAAAATCATATAAAATTTGAAAAAAAAACAAAATTTGACCCATGAAAAGAATAGAATCCCAATGGGATCCAATTTACGCTCTTTGCAATGAGCGAATGAAGCCATTTGATGGCAAAAAAGAGCTGAGTTTCTTTTTGGCAGAAAAACAAAAAGTCGATTCGTTCTAATGAAACAAGCGAGGAAAGGGAAAAGGAAAAAAAAGAAAAAAAGAAAAGAAAAGGGAATAGGCTCATTTTTGTTGTATTTTAAGCTAGTTGTAGCTCAAATTTCGACCTCAAATCCCCTATTCTAGTGATTCTAGCGACCCAGTGATTTTTGTGAGAAATTGAGTAAATCATTGAGCTAGATAGAGTGTGTTCCCAGCTCTAGTCAGCCTCTTTCACTTGACAAGTCTAACCATAAAGTCTAACCATACCTTGTGTACTTTTGGCTCATTCTTTCACTCAGAAACGCACCTCTTCTGGTGCATTTGAGTGTCGATTTTAACTAGTAAAACTCAAGTGATTATTGTACGCAAAAAATGTGCAAGTGCGCTTTTGATTTTTCAAAAATTTGAACCACAAAGCTCACCCTGTCAATCACTAAACGGAAAACGATTCAAATAAAATGCCCATAAGTTTTATGAGCTTAATTTGTTTCCTCTTTTTTTTTCAAAGGATTCTTATCAATTTATTGAGTATGAGTCAGTCATTTCTCTTGTGAAGTTTACTTTCGCTTTTTTTCCTTTCAAATTTTGAAATACCGGATTTTCTCTAATAGTCGTGAGCGTCGCCTAAATTCATCGTAATCTCGAGAACCGCTTATCAGAACCTATCGATGTGAGGTCGGAAAATGTAGCTGACGATGAGATCTTGTGGGGGATTTGAGGGTTGAGCTTCTGGGGAAGCTTGGGAACCGTAAAATGGCCACCAACTCGGCACTCGGCTCGCCCGGGTGCACTACTATTAGAGAAAATCCGGGATTGGCCAGATGGCCGTCCGGTTCATAGCGCATAAGACCTTCCCCCAAGATGACAACAAGCTTTATTAGATCATTAGAGGCGTCAAGTCTTTGCCTAGCTGACGATGAGATCTAGTGGGGGATTTGAGGGTTGAGCTTCTGCAAAAGCTTGGAAACCGTCAAATAGTCATCAATTCGGCTGGATGCACTACTATTATAGAAAATGCGGTATTGTCCAGATAGCCGTCCGGTTAGGAATCTTGTCTCTTACGCGAAAGGTCGAGGTTTCAAAAACGCTGGCAAGATAAAAATGTTTCTTTTTTGCAACGAAGTGCGTTTTTATTGTCCTTCTTTATAAAAACTTGATAGTGAAGGGTTTGTTTTTCAGAATCTCTTCCATAGTTCACTAACGAGGACTGTATTATGTACACTTGAATGTTTTCTTCTTTCACAACATTATAATAGGGGTAACGACGGCCATAATTCCATAAAATTGTATGTTTAAACCTTTATTTCTTATTATGTTTACTTTTTGCTCGGCTCGTCAACCTAATAGTGAACGGTTTTTTTCAGAATCCCTTCCATAGTTCACTAACGAGGTTCGACTGTAAATCTAATAGTAGTGCTATCAGGGATTGATCAGGGATTGATCAGGGATTGATCAGGGATTGATCAGGGATTGATCAGGTATTGGTAAAGTATTGATAAGGTATTGATAAGGGATTGAACAGGTATTGATCAGGTATTGATAAAGTATTGATTATCTGGGGTTATTTAGCAGTCCGGTTAGGAATCTTTTCTCTTACGCGAACCTAATAGTAGTACTGAGTCAGTCATTTCTCTTGTGAAGTTAGCTTTTACATTTTTTTTCCTTTAAAATTTTGAAATACCGGATTTTCTCTCATAGTAGTGCACCCTGAGCGTCGCCTAAATTCCTCGTAGTGCTACTATTAGGTTTACATAAAAAATTGGTTTTAAAGATAAAAAAAAGCTCGAAAAGAATTGGGAATTTTGAAAGAAATATTCAAAAAGAAGAATTTCATGACTTTTATTTGAGAATTGATTAAAAACTTTTGACAATATGGTTTAGGAATATTGTTTGATACAAAAGTTTTGATTGGTAAACGTTACGGAATTGAGTCTGAAGCTGGGAGATGATCAGATTGCCCCACTTTAGTGAAAGAGTGATCAGAGGCTAGCCCACTCAGAAAGCAGATAATCCTTGCGAATCATTGCATAGTTAATGCTTCGAAATTTGCAACTTGTTTAGGTGTTGTATAGTGAAAGAGTGAAAGAGCCATTCACGATTTGATCTGAATCAGAAAAAGTGAATTAGAATCAGAAAAACTGAATTAGAATCTGAATTAGAATCTGAATTAGGATGTTCAAATGAATTTGGGGAATTGGAATAGATGAAATAGATGAAATAGATGAAAGAAAAGATGAAAACTAAATGATTTCCGTTAGATTAAATGCCTTAGATCATGAAAAGATGAACAAAATCGATCTCGAAAAAGCGATTCAAGTAAAATAACGAAAAATATCGTAAAAGAGAGTAACTCTCCTCTCAAATCCCAACTTGGTCACCGGTTTTTTTGACCTTGAGCCATCTTTTTCTTTCAAAAGAAAAAGGATCTTTTTCTGTCAAAAAAACGATCTTTTTTCTGTCAAAAAACAATGGGAACTCAGGGTTATTTGGGATTTAGATGATCGAGAATTTAACCAGAGATTCGATTGGGAACCTAGAGTGATCAGGGATTGAACAGGGATTGAGCAGGGATTGATCAGGGATTGATCAGGCATTGAACAGGGATTGAACAGGGATTGGTCAGGTATTGAACAGGTATCTGGGGTTATTCAGCCGTCCGGTTAGGAATCTTGTCTCTTACGTGAAAGGTCGAGGTTTCAAAAACGCTGGCAAGATAAAAATGTTTCTTTTTTTGCCCACGAAGTGCGTTTTTTTTCTTTCACAACATTTGAGTGATAGGCGTAATAGGGGTAACGACGGTCGTAATGCTATAACGTAATGCTATAAGTAATGCCATAACGTAATGCCATAACCATGCCATAACGTAATGCTATAACCATGCCATAACCATGCCATAACCATGCCATAACCATGCCATAACCATGCCATAACCATGCCATAACCATGCCATAACCATGCCATAACCATGCCATAACCATGCCATAACCATGCCATAACCATGCCATAACGTAATGCCATAACCATGCCATAACGTAATCCCATAACGTAATGCCATCACGTAATGCTATAACGTAATGCCATAACGACGGTCGTAATGCCATAAAATTGTATGTTTAGACCTTTGGACCGAGTGAACCAGTCCGAGACACTCGGTTCCTCATTCTGATTATCTGGGGTTATTTAGCTGTTAGTTATTGGAAAAATTTAGTTATTAGAAATCTAATCTTTCGATTTTAACATTACTTTGTTCCAGATAAGAGTAAAGGATTTGAAAAATAGAAAACCTGATCAAATACCTCATCAAATAGCTAGAATTTACTGTAGTTGTTGGGAAATTTTAAAATAAGCTACAAAAGTAGTGTTATAATGCCATAACGACGGTCGTAATGCCAAATTGTATGCTTAAACCTTTGAACCAAGTGAAACCAGTCCGAGACACTCGGTTCCTCATTTGCGTTGATTATCTGGGGTTATTTAGCTGTTAGTAAGTAGTATAAAGTGTTATACTACTTACTTTTTCCAGATAAGAGTAAAGGATTTGAAAAAATTGAAAAATAGAAAACCTGATCATTTCAGAATCAATCGAAAAGTTAAAAGATTGTAAATGATTTAAAAATTTGGCCATTAAGCGTTTTTTTAAATGAATGAGTCAAAAAAAGTGATTCTTATCTGGGAAACTCTTTTTTGAGAGTTGGGAAATTTTTTGGTGACTTTGACTAAGCAAAACAAGCCTTTTTCACTCCTTTTTCTTTTTCCTTGATAAAATATGCAAAGAGTTTCTTTTTTTTCTGCTTTTCATCGTTACCTAAACATTGGAAATTGAAAGGTTTCAAGGAAATGATTTGAAAGAAATAGATTATTGCTTTGAGGGTTTGAAAGATTTGAGGAATTTGAAAGAATTTGATTTGAAGAAAATTTGACCATTTATTTTGAGCCTGAGCCTAAGCCAAAGCCTGAGCCTAAGCCTAAGCCTGAGCCTGAGCCTAAGCCTAAGCCTGAGCCTAAGCCTGAGCCTGAGCCTGAGCCTAAGCCTAAGCCTGAGCCTGAGCCTAAGCCTGAGCCTGAACCTGAGCCTAAGCCTAAGCCTGAGCCTGAGCCTAAGCCTAAGCCTGAGCCTGTTTAGCTCAGGATTACAGATCAACAACGGTTACGGGGTCGAGTATTTGAAAATTTGAAAGATTTGAAGGTTTTGAAAGATCTTGAAGAATTCAGTGCACCAGAAAGGATTCCTTTTTGAGAGGAGGCTAAAGTTTAAAAAATGTTATTCATTTTTGAGGTACTTGACATTTCAGGTCAAGAAAGGAATGGAAAGCAATTAAGAGAGTTGGAAGAAGTGGAAAGGAAAAGGAGGAGGAGAGGAAGAGAAGAGAAGAGGAAGAGAAGAGGAAGAGAAGGGGAAGAGAAGAGAAGAGGAAGAGAAGAGGAAGAGAAGGGGAAGAAGTTTATGGATTAAGGAAAGAACTTTTAGATAAGAAATGGACAAGAACAAGGACAAGAAAGGATCAGGAAAAGGATAAGGATAAGGAAAAGACAAAAAAGGACAAGAAATGGATAAGGAAAGAAGATTTTAACCATTTTAATAAGAATTTATAAGAACAGCTCATTTAGTCAGTTTAGTTTTCTTCAAAAAGTCGTTTAGCCCAGGTGCGAAATGAATCAGAAAAAAGAGTGGTGAAAGAGTCGATTTTTCCAATAAAAGTCAGTGCTAGTTGCAGAAAAAGAATGAATTGGTCGATCCGATAAAAACAGGCGCGTCGGGGAAAGGGATCACTATGAGAGTTTAGGGCCTTTGACCCCCTCTTCACCTCTTTCCTTTTATCTAACTTTCCTCCATTCCCTCTTC